TGGGAAGAAAATGCTCAGTTGGTGGATGCAAAACTGGCTATGACAGTCAGAAAGATGCAGAAAAAGTGACCTTGTATGGAGTTCCTTCGGATGAAACAGAATGTCGGGCATGGATTGCTAGCTTACCAAACATTTTATCCTATGAAAAGGTGTCAAAATCAAAAAACATATCAGTGTGTGCCCTCCATTTCCCTCAGAATGTGCCTTTGATTCGTCGTGGAAGTAAGCTCGTTCCTACCGTCCCTCCATCCATTTTCCCAAATGTCCCCTCATCCTCCATACCCACTCCACAAAGTAAACCCCGGCCAACATCAAAATCGAGAAGTGACTGCAGAGTTGTGGACATTGATGAAATGCCTGACTTTTTGGTCAATGATAAGTTTAAGAATGCTGAGAATTTTCGAGTTAAATTCCAGGACATACTCTCTGAACATGGACTTTTTGCTTGGGAGAAAACAAACAATCAGTGTGTTCTCTTAAGCCATCAGAGAGAGGGACCTATTCACACGTTTGCTGCCTATTTTGACTTCAAAAATGGAAAGGAAGAAGGAAGAATTAACTCGGTTGGCTTCAAGGTGTACAAAAGTCTTAAAAGCATCGGGATTCCCCTGTTTCCAAAGGAAACAATATCAAAGTGGACTCAACTAGAGGAATTGCTGAGGATCATCAAAACAGATAGTGAAAGAGACAGAAAACAGGACTTTTTGTGTCGGCAGGTGGAGCTGATGAATGTTGCAAAGAACACTCGTGTATATGACTCCGCTGATCTGTGTCAGGCTCTTTCATGGTGTGCTAGGTCCCGAGCCTTGTACAGTGAAATTCGTGAGTGCCTTCAGCTTCCATCAGTTTCCACGATTCAAAAAATGACTCGAATTGTCAAGAACACTGAAGACAACACTTTCTTCAAAACACTGTTTGATGGAAAACCAGAATGTGAGAGAGGGTGTGTTCTCATCGTTGATGAGATTTATGTAAAAACAAGCATTTCTTTTAGGGGTGGGGTAATTTTTGGCTATGCAGCTGATAATAAAAGCAAGAAAGCGACGACTCTCCTTTGCATTATGGTAAAATGCTTCTTTGGGGCGAAAAAATTTGTTGCAAAGGTCATTCCTTGCCATGCACTCAAAGCAGTATTTCAGTTTGAGTGTGTCAAGGATGTCATATTGTCACTGGAGAACTGTGGGGCTAAAATTGTTGGGATCATAAACGACAACAACAGAATGAATCAATCGTTCTTTAAAATGTTCACTCCAATAGACATCACTAAACCATGGATTGTTCAGTCCCTGACAGATGCAACACGCGAAATGTTTTTAGTGTTTGATCCAGTTCACATCACAAAGAACATACGCAACAACTGGATAACCGAGAAAACCAAAACTCTGAGATATCCTCTACCTGACTCTCCTGACTGCATCATGGCGAAGTGGAGTGACTTACAAGAGCTCTACCAGGCAGAGGAAAAAGCTATGGTAAAGCTGTCTAAGCTAACCAAACCAACTATAGTACCAACGAACATAGAAAAACAGAAAGTTTCTCTAGCCCTCAATATATTCTGTGACCAGACGAGCTGTGCACTTAAAATATCAACGCACAGTACAGACTCCTGGAAACACACGGCTACTTTCATTGATGTTGTAATCAAGCTATGGAAATTGTTTAATTGCAAGACACCCTTTCAGGACAAGCGGCTGTGTGACCCGGACCGTGTTGCCATCGATCTGACAGAGAAAGGTGAGGCAGCCATCACAACTCTTTTAAATTGGGCACAGCTTGCTGAGACAATGAAACCATCAGAAAGAGTAAGAATGCACTGCCTCACAAAAGACACATCAGAAGCTCTTTCTTGGACGTGCAGATGCCTTGCTGCTCTGAGCAAATACCTACTGCAAACGCACGAACCATATAGACATCAGTTTGTCTGTCTAGGCTTCTTCCAACAGGATGACTTAGACAGGCATTTTGGACATTTCAGACGATCTGCGGGTTGTAATTACTTTTTGACAGTCTAGGAAGTGATGCACACACATACCATTGATAAAGCAAGGATTTTGCTTAAGACAGAGGTTGCACTGGACTATAGCATCAGTCATCATGAATGTGACCTGTGTGAGAAGGACCTTGCAGACAGTGACCTGCTACTCATTGACGATATGGTAGAGGGAAACATCTCAGTGACTGCTGATGAAAAGCTGGCGATTTTTCACATTGCTGGCTACATTGCTTTCAAACACCGTGAGCTTGCCGGCAACCCCTCAGACAGTACACCAGATGTCAGAGCATATCTTGAGGAAATCAACCGTGGTGGTCTGACCTATCCATCGGACAAACTGTTCACACTGACTACTCTGGCCTACCATTATCTTAGAAAGACAACCGAGCCACTGTGCAGAAACAAACTCATTAGAGTCTTAACTGACTTCCCAGAATTATTTCAACTGGAGTTGGAAATTTCTCGACAAGCTTTCAAAAGGATGACCAACATTCTTATGAAGCGATATTGCTACAACCTTAATGATGAGGAAAGTTCACAGCAGCGTCGAAAGGTTGCAAAACTGTCATCAACATCAGCATAGAAACAGGTAAGGGAAACATGTCGTGTGTGTCATTATCTGTCAATTTGTCTCTTTTTGATTACTAGAAACCCTGT